ATAGATATGTGTGTGTGTGTGTGTGTGTTGTTAATCTCCCAAAGGCAATATTTTGGCTTTTGCTCTCTAATTGTTAAAATCATTCACTTTGGCCAACATATGAAGGAAGAAAAAGAAAGAAGAAGCCCTAGTGACTCTCCATCACCTAATCTTTCAGGACCACAAGTTCTTCAATTGACTTAGAGCATCTCTTCAGCTCATCACAGGAAGAAACTTCACAGCTATCAACCTACTTGACAAAAAAGTCCCCTTGCTTTCCATGTGACTTCCTGGAATACCAAAAAGAGTCAGGTGATGCTGTGCTTCTCCACACACAGCAGCTCACAAAAAACTAACAAGTAGTGCAGAGGTGGGGCCACCACCTGCACTAGGATTTTTCACTCTTCTGACTAAGCAAGCTGAGAGCATCTGAGACCTTTACCTACAGTAATCACAAACATGTTGACATTTTTCTGAGTAACTAGACTTATTCTTTGCTCCAGAGAGATAATAACATGCTCCATGATCTAGTCAGTGCTTAAAACAATCATTTCACAGAATGAAGTGCTATTGCTTGGAATTCTGTTGCTGCTTCTATAACAGACTCAAAGGTTCCTTATATACTGAAGCTAGAGGTAAAAAGCATATCTATTCCTTCAGTCCCAAAGCATTCTGCTGAGGAGGCCAAGTCTCACTCTCTTTTTTCCATTGCATAGGAAGCCCAAAAGGGATGCTAGGATGGTAAGTCTGTGCTGGTTTTCAATGGTACAGACAGGTCATCACCTCCAAATCACATATGAGCAAATTGCTGAAAATGACAGGGCAGAAAAGTGCAAAAGGAAAAGTAACTCTCCCCTCCATACTACAATTTTGTATCAGAGAAGCTGGCTTAAAGTACTAAAGTTTTATGCAATTATTCTATGGCCATACAGACCTTCTAGCTTTATGCCTTTCCTCACAGATAGCTGGTGTGTCCTCTCCTCTGCAGGGACTCTTAGAAACGATATGCATAACTTTTAGCTTTTACATCCTCAACCCAAAATGCCACCCGTTCTTCAAACACAGGCTGCTTGCCATAATATCACAAAAACAAAACAGAGGCATTTATCATTGCTGTGGATTCAAGAATGCTATTGTGTTTGTTTTTCTTTCAGGGCCACTTGAATGATCCACTCAGTGATGTGATGGAGAAATCAAATCAATGGCATTATCATCCACTGATCAATGAAGCAAGAGAGACACCAGTCAGTCAGCTGCAGGGCCATCCTTTGCCATCACCATCCGCCTTTGGCCATTTAGCTGGCAAATGATATAAATTATATAAAGAGCTGAAAGAACGTGGGAGGACCATTATAAATATTTACATTTTTGTTACCTTTCTGAAATTGAAGTCACAGGGGAAAATCTCAGAGTCGGTCCAACTACAGTGACCTGAATCTTATTTTCCTCTCATTAACTCCAGATAGGATGACATGTAATGTCAATAGAATCAATGGAATAACAGTGGGACAAGGCTGAGAAAGAGATACACACCCCTCTTTCAAATAGACCCTACATCATTGCTTCCTAGCTCTGTGCTGACCAGGGCTCTCATTCTCATCTATAGCACATCTCAGGGGCTCATTTTCCCCAGCAGAAAAAGTAAGCAAAAAAAAAAAAGCCAGTAGATCAAAATGACAGTTTTATATATTATCAGCTGCAAAGACAGTGGAAATTCAGGACAACTTTAGCTGTAATAAAAGAGGGACAATAGTGATATGAATATCTTTGCTTTTAATACAATAGCATAAATGTGCTATGCAATAAGCTGAAAATATTATGAGAGTCCCCAACTTGAATCTCTGCCAAGCAAACTATTTTTAGTGGAATGTGTTTAGCTTGCTTGTTAAAGATTAAATCCCAGGCAATAATTGCAGTTACTCTTCTGCCTGATTTAAATAGGCAACATTTATTAATGTACAGTGATTAAGCCAACTATTCCAAAGTAAGCCACAAAGACTTAAAGTGATAAGGAAATAGGATGATACCCTGACTAAAGAAAGTCAACCCTGTATTCTAAGATCTGTTCCATGAAAAACAGTTTGTTGATGCAGACCAGAGGGAAGAGAATTACAAGTTATGAAAGGGAATTTGATTTGTCCTTCTGAAATAAAAGTGATAACTGACTTATCAGAGCAAATTCTGCCACAGATTTTATAGATCCAGTTATTTCTTGCAGGCCTCCAACCAGAGGATGGTTTAGAGTGCATGCAAGAGCTGGACTGAGATTCAGGCTGGGAAAGAGATACATCCATGATCAATCCATATTCTGTATTCACACTTACACGTTAACTCAAGAGTTCAATATCCTGCATATCTAGTCTTTAAAATGTCCTAGTTTATCAGCAAAGTTCTCCTGCCCTGTCTGTTTTGCAAGTGCACAAGTCCATGCAAGCTTGTACAAGGTCTTTGGCAAGGGATAGAACAGTGTGCTGAGGGTGAGGAAAATTTGCTTTTGATGAGAATATTCTGAACACTAGGAATACCCAGTGATTTTTGCTCCATTATTTTATGCTGAAGAAAATAAGTTTACAAATAGATCTACCTGCTTCAGCTCTTTGTGCAAAACATCTCATTAAATAGCAGCACTTTTTTTCCTAAAGAAGCCTGGTACATATCCAATGGGTAAAAGGATAAATGGCTATAATCTTTGAATACACAAGACTACATAGAGTGGGTATTTCATAGCTGCACAAAGCCCATAATTGAACTTCTGCCCTAAGGATAAGTTTTCCTGCAGTGTAAGTGCTTCCAGATGCCATACTCAGGTCATGTTCTTTGTCAGGAAAGCAGAGCTTTACATCCAGTTAATTGTTGTCCCCAGCTGTCTTTTTTGTTGGTGGTGGGTTTTTTCCACTGAAGCCAATTTTCCAAAAGTTATTCAAGCAAATGTGCTCATTTCCCAGTTCCCCCATGATTCCCCACCACAGTGTAATAAAGTGTAGATTTTGTATGGCTACATTCCAGACTTCATGGTGTTAAAATCATAGCAGCAATGGAAAAGCATGTTGCCTCGACAGTCATAATGTAGGACATAAGCTACAGGTGACTCAATGGTAGTCAAACCAGGTAGTCTATATGAAAATAGAACAGTTTCTGTGTACAGACTGGTTAACTCATGGAGTTAGTACTCACACATGAAGGCTTTCATGGTTCACTAAGCAGCAAAAAGTACTTAGTCTGAATTAAAATGACTGCAATTCAGTTCACTGTGTTCCATCTCGGAACACAGTTACCATGAACAGCAAGCCCTTTCTTCCATAATTCCTTTGGGCTTCAATCAAACATAAAAAGGTAAAGATTATATCCATCCAGTATTTGGATCTACTTCAGTGGTGAAATATGCACTGATTTGGGATGGATTAACCTTGGCTGAGAGAGGAAAGTTCAGACCATTGTTTGTTGCAGAACAAACTAAAAAATCGCAAGGAAGAGAGGGGATATTATAAAAGGACAACACAACTCCTTTATTTTCCTCAAAGTATTAATGATAAACTTTTGTGTGTGCATTTGCAATGCCAGTCTCCTGTTATCACTCACTAGCTACCACTTACTTCGGTTACCAGACCTGTTGGTTGAAGAACAGCTTGGAGGAGGTCACAGTTCAGGCTGCCAAGCAACTGATCTTTAAACACTCAAGACCAAAGTCTGGGGAAGGATTTTACGCCAGCTTGCTCAATTTTACCAATAGTAGCACTGAAAGAGGTGGCTTCAGTCCACTGTACTTGTGCTCTTTGGACTGTCCATCAGAGCAGACACAGTCCTACCTGAACAGGCCTTAGCACTCACTCTTCCCTCAGAAAACAACCCACCTGTTTTAGTCCTCAAAAGATCCCTTAATCTTTGTGATAAGAAGAGGTTTGACTTTTACAGCAACCCACTCCTAATCTCTTTGGTGTCTATCCCCCCTACAGGGAAACCCACACTATTTTGTGGGCTTCCTGATAAAAGCTGTCACACCTGATGATAAAAAGCAAATATATGCTGTAATCTTAAAGGTCTAGAGCAGGATATTTAGAGCTCAGTCAGCACCTGGGCATTATAAGGCTGTATTTTCCCCAGAAAAGTTCTCTAAATTTGTGGAAGGTCTGAAAACTACTTTTTTTCTCTCTTTTTTTTTTTAATGATTAGTTTGTAAACAAAAAACAAAGATAAAGTATATGATGATCAAAATGCTCTTCATCTGAACATACCTCTCCTGAACTTCTGTCAGACCAGCAAGCAAATAGGTTGTGCCAAGCTTCTCTTTGGAGGCCTGTGCCAAGATTTGGACCTTCTGATTTGTTAGCACAGATAACACCCACTTACATTCCCCCTTGCAAGAAAAGGCCAAGGAAAACAACTTGCTACCCTGTGAACTTTCAGGAAATATTGCCCAGCAGCATGCGCCTGTGTTCCTCTCTGTGCTGAAACTTCACAAGACAATTTCTTAGTCCCGTTGTTGCAATTAACCTTCAGAGAAAATTATTAACTACATTCTCACACATGTGATGGACTGATCCAGATTATTAGCCTAGAAACTATGTCCTTACTGCAATTCTACAGCTGTTTCTCCTCCCTAGATGAAATCCTGGCCCCTTCCCCACAGCCTGGTAGTGCTTGCTCACTCAAAATTACAGAACAATTATCTCCAGCAAAGACAGAGGTGATCACATTTCCTTCCTAAACTGGGACACTGGAAATTAAAAAGTCCTCTCCTCACCCAGTGCTGCTCCTGAAAGATCCTGCAGAAAATTGGGCATAATACCTGTAATCTGGCCCAATATGCTAAACATTTAAAACAACCAGAAAAACTGGGGTCAGCATCATCTCCGATACAATATGCTTGGATGAGGAGTTTGGGCCAGGGGAGGGGAAGGTGGGGCAGGGAATCAGCCTCTCTGGGGATCTGTGCTTGGCTACTTTTTGTACAATGCCTGCCTCCAAGCATGAACACCCACCTAGCCCCACTGTCCCCTCAATCAGTACAGTTTCATACTCACCATGTCATAAACATTCAGAATCACTGGTTCATTTGCCATTGTTGACTGCAGCAGAGGCTGGATTAAAACCTTTCAGTCCCTGCCAGATGTGTGTTGATTCCCCAAGGGTATGCTTCTACCCTGAGGCAGATAGAGGGAAATGCCTCATCCTACAGTCGTGCAGAAGGAAGGAGTGTGGAGGGATGAGGAAAGGAGAGAATTCTCACTGGTGTGTGTGAGTAAAGTTGGTTGCAGGGAGGCAGTAAGGGTAGGGTTGGGTTTGCTGGTTGCATAGGGTTTATTTTAGCCCTCCACGGCGTGACAGATCCAGGGTTTCTAACTCTGTAGCGCACCTGGGGGTCTGTAGACTCATACACCACTGTAACCAGGCACCGTCCAAGCTTGTAAATCCCGATCCAAAGAAGACAGATTGAGCCCAAATATAAGCCCTCTTCTGGCACCGTGAGCAAGGCGGGGGGCAGCGTGTGCGGGGGGATTTCTCGGCAGAGCGGCGGGCTGCTACTGCAGCGGGCTGCCAGCACGACGCAATAGCCCGGGGCTCCAAGGCACGGAGCGGGGCCGAGGTCCCTCCTCCCGCCGGCGGAGCCCGGAGCCACGCCGGGATCTGTCCGCGGTGCTGGGATCGGTCCGTCCGAGACGGGATCTGTCCGTGGTGCTGGGGTCGATCCTCCCGGAGCCGGAATCTGTCCGCGTTACTGGAATAGGTCCGTCCAGAGCCGGGATCTGTCCGCGGTGCTGAGGTTGATCCCTAATCAGACTCTCCGTTGCGGTCTCTCCGCCGCCGGCAGGACATGGTGAAGAGGCTGTGCCAAAAGGGCTCCAGCGCGGGGCTTGGCGGTGGGAGGGGGCAGAGGAGGGGGCTGGCTGCCCCCGGGGCACAGGGGGGATGCCGCAACCCCCATCCTGCCCACGGCGTGCAGGCAGACCTGGCGTCGGCGCCGAAGTTAGTAGGCAGTTCTCCGCGGGAGATGACGCGGGATTACCCGGCGCTGAGGCTGGAGGAAGGAAGATGCCGAGCGGGCGATGCTTCCAGGCGGGGTGCGAGGCCAGGGCTGGGTACCCCAGCTCTGTGTGCTCTGCTCTCCACAGGGCCAGTCCTTATTTCACGATCAGCTCGTCCCGAGCCGGGCAGCCTCTACTGACTGACAGCCGAGGGGACCTACCCCGTCCTCTGCTGGCTGGATGCATCGCTGCATGGCACACGGTGGGAGGGCGGGGAAGGGACGAAACGACTGGGCAGGGCGAGTAGTTTCACTTCTGGCAGCAGCAAGGTCTGGAGTTTCTTCCGTCCTGGAGCCACTTTACACTCGTGCTAGAACCGGGCAGCTCTGCAATGTCTTGCCAGTAAACACTCCCCTCTGTCCTGGATGCGAGAATCAATTATAAAATGCACTGCGGTAAATTCATCTTCAGTTTGCTCCTCCTCTCTCTTTAAAGGGAGAGCAGGGTTTGAGATGGTGCTGGGAGAGGGTGCAGCTGAGAGGCAGAAAGAGGGTTTCTGCATCCAGAGATTTGCAGTGGTGTGGCAATTAGCATTCTGACCTTACATGTTCATACACCACAGACTTCTGAAATGAGGGGGAGAAAAAAAAAAGGCAGGGATGACCTCATCTGAGTTGAAGGCGTATCTGAGGCTGAGGCTCTCTGCCAGCTCCCAGCCAACCAGATCTGAATGAAAATTGCAGGAAGCCCGTTACATCAGCAAAGCCCAGCATGCCTCAGCTCTGTCTTCAGCTGCATCCCGTCCCGCAGAAGTGCTCACCTTCCTTTGTCAGGACCGGAAGGACAAAACCACAGAGCTGCAGTCTTGTAAAAGACTTGTTATATGGCATGCAGGAGGATTTCTTGTGAAGGCAGGCAGCATGAAAGGGAAGTGAATCCATGTCCTGCATAGTTGAGTGCCAGCCCAACAGAGTCAGACATAAAACTTTTCTTCCGGGCAGTGCCAAAGGAGAACCAGAACTACTTTCCCTAACTGTATGGATTTGCATTTTGAAAGAGCAAAGCCACAGCTCAGGCCTGGGCATGAAGGTATGCAATAATTTGGCAGGGACACTAGCACAGTCATTTCATCTGGACTAGTAATTCCATGGGTGGGCTAAGGCAATTCCACACACATGGAACAGGGGCTTAACTAGCAGCCTGACTTCCCTCCCCCCACAGTTCTCCAGCCCACCAACTCAAACTGTTGGGTGCCATTAACCATCTGTCTCAGCAGGCTGGGGCTGAATGAACTGTTTGTGCAGATGAGAAAAGGTGCTTCCTCCTCCCTACCATCTCAGAGTCCAGATATTCCTCAGAGGACAGACTGAGCCCCCATTTCATTTTAAAGGCTATGGAGCAATGAAAAGCTCCCTCTGCAATCACTCATGCCATAACTTGTAAGACAAACCTCCTACTGAATCCCAGAGGGTTCCTACTAAACTGTCACAGATACCCTGAGATTGTCACTTTTGTATGTGTCCTGCTCTGGTGATGGTGACATTTTAAGGAGACTTGAAAGGAGAGTGAAGAGTTGATACTAGACCAACCAATGTAACCGGAAAAGCAGCATTACAAGCTCTTTCCACACTTGTCCACATGCTTACTTGCTAAATTAACTCCAATGACTCCTGTGCCCAGAGTTCACTAAAACAAATTAGAGACTTAAACCAGATACACCTGCCAGAGACAGACATCTATAAATACTTAGGATTTGGGAAAGATGACAGGCAGCCACAAGCTTAGATGTTTTGCCTGTAGACATTTGTTATTTAAGGACTTTTGCTGTAGGAGAGACAGTAAATGTCACTTGCACATTAAGATCTGGATTCACTCCTTCTAACTTGAAACAACTGGGAGAGCTACATTACAAACGTCATTGCTCCAGGCTCCCTTTTCTTCTCCTTCACAGAAAGAAGTTGTTCCACATGGTGACTTAGCCTCATCAGTGTTTCAGTGATCCCTTGAAAGTTCCTTTTTTACCCCATTCTATTCTAGGTGACTTATTCTAACTCCAGATAGAAGGGATCAGTCTGAATACAAAAGCTCATTAATATGAGATGTTTAACAGTCACATAAACTCTTCACAAGGCTTGGTTTGCTTTGGGCTGTGTTGAAGTGTTTCATCAACAGCTCAGGCTGATACCAGTCAAGAAAGTGAGCTGCTCTATTTCAGGTGCATAAGTACAATCCTGCAGATTGCCACACTGCCTACAGGCACCAGAGTCCATATCTTGCCCTATAAAAACATTTAAATTAATTGCAAATACAGAGGAAAAGGGAGATTCTTCTTACTACTGATTAAAGCAGCTGGAACAAGCACTTTGGGTTCTGTTTTGACTTCTTTTAACCACTTCTTTTAGGACATAGCAGACACATACATTTTTTCCATACACATCCCTAAAGCTAGACAAGACCTTCATTCACAGTTAAGCAGCCTGTTGCAAGCCTGAATTTTCTCAGATTCTCCACATTCTTAGCACTCCCTTAAAAGGGATTCATGTATTTGAGCTTAATTGTGGTCATCCCCACTTACTATTCATGGCATAAGTATGTGTGCATCTTCAAGGACCAGTGTCTAAAGGAGACAGTGTGATCTTACATGAGTTCTTTGATTAAGAAAGAGGTGAAAAGGGTTAAAAGGAAAATAGTGCTACCACCCAACATGGACTAAAAAAACAAGAATCAGATACAACCTTCAGGAATTACCTGCTACATTAACCAAGGCAGTCAGTAGCTGAGAACTTCAGCCACCTCCTCCAGGTCCCAGTCACAAAAGTGGCATCAAGGCACTGTAAACAGAGCTGTGACATTCCACTGAGGGCAAGAACAAAAGAACAGCAGTGCAAGAGAGAAACAATGGCTAGATTAAAGGTGGTGGTCTATGTTCAAGTTTATCTACCGGTGTTGCTATTCAGGAATTCTAGTTTAAATAAACACGTTTCCTTAATTCACCCTTCTGCCCTTTCAGAACCTCAGTAGCCACCCAGCAGACAATGGGACCTTCAAGCACATTTCACAGTGGGGCCACCCAGTTTAAACTTCAAGACACTAAATGGTCGTGTCTCCACATTAGGTACACCACCCCTTGGTGTCCATTGTATTTTCTTGACAGCTTGTAGTTTTGAATTGTATTAAGTGCTTCTACCCATGTCAAGTTGTCATTATTATCCCATTCTGAGTATATTAGTCAAAACTATCCTTTTTAAAAGAGGTATAAAATCACCTTTTAAAAACTAGGCACAGTATTTTTTCAGGTCTTTGAGAATGGTGGAGGGTATTCGAGAATGTAAAGGGAGTTGCAGTGTCCTTCTTCCATCTACAGCAATAAATCATCACCTGGACAGGTGCTGGAGCTTTGTAGCCTCATTCCAAGAATGTGAGAGGAGGTATTTTGATTGAAAGAATTTTATCTCACTTCTATCCAAGACACTTGCATATATCAAGGAGTTGACTTGAGTGTGAGCTATGGGAAAAAATGGGGAAAGAAAATCAACACAGGATGCCAGTAATGTGCTTTGCCCTATGTAAGGCAACACATAAAATATTTAACTTTGTATTGCACCAAAAAGAGAAAGAACAACAGCCAAATTGGACGACCTCAATAATTTAAAATATTTCATCCAGGATTCTGAGGATTTGTAGCTGAAAGCTAGGCATGTGTTGGTAGATGGGAGAATAATGGACATTTACATGGAATTCCTCATTGAGTGAATCCTGATTTTGCATTTTGTCTCCCTTCTCATTGCACCAACACTTTGCAACTTTCTACTATTAAGCCGTTTGTCAGGAAGCAATAAAGGCTGACAGCTCCTAGCATGGCTGGCAGGGCAGGGACTTCAGTGTCCAGGGCTCTGGCCTACAGCCCATGAGCAAGGCATGCAGGGCAGGCCTGGAGATAGTCACACACATTCAGCCAAGAGTCCAGATCACCAGGCAAGTTCATAATGATAAGGCAGGTCTAAGGTCATGCCCAGACATCAGCCAGGCAGAGCCAGAGACCAGCATCCTACCTACGTCACCAGGACAGGGACTTTTGACCCCAGGCTGGGCTGAATGGTGCTCTTGGGCCATAGAGAGGCCCCAGGGGAGTACAGGACCACCCCCTCTGTTTACATAAAGCAACACTGTCAACTGAGAGGCAAGCAATGTACATAGAGACTTTCAACCTGGAAACTGAGATGAAAAAGCTGAACATTCCTGCTCATTCTTATGCTAAGGATTAGGCAAGTAGTTGTTGTTATTATTGCTATTAAAAATTCACAGCACAATCAATCATGGATCAAAACCAGTCAATGGATGCAGTTAAAAGGGACAGAACACAGTAATAGGAATTTGTGTTGTATACCTGAGGAGTAAAGCAGGCTTTGTTTCAGAGGGTTCTTCCACCAGCAACATCTTCCAATTATTTATTTGCATTGTATTATAATAATATTCAGAAGTTGCAGGGCAGGGACACTTGTATTGGACCCTATATGAACACATAGGAGGCGAGTACAGTTAATCAATGAAAGGTGGTAATTTAAGAGATGTGACAGGTAAACAGCAAGAGAAAAGATGCATCATTAACCCCATGTCACAGAGGTATGGGGAAGCAAAGTGACCAGACTTCAGCCAAACAGTATATCTGCTGTACAATCAGGACCAAAGAGAACTGAAGTGAGGTGCAATGCCACACTTGTAGAAAAGATAGAAACTGACATCATAAGATGGGATCCAAAAAGCCAGATGCTGCATAATCCTGAAGGTGTCTAAGCTGCCTCCCTCTTGGACCAGGGCAGTATTTATCCTGCTGCTGAACATGCCCAAAACTACCCCAGCCAGGGCACTGGGGTTCTTCACTCCTGTTGCAGTCTCAGAGAGACCAGTGAGGATGAAGGCAATCCACAGAACAGGAGACAAGAGCTCCAGCACTTGCTCCTAAACATGTTCCCTAGCTGCTAAGGTACACTTTTCCAGCACTCTCACACTGCCAGTTGATTAGCGTTCAGGGTCTCCTTCTCAGTCAAGCTGAGTATCATATTCTGCAGCTGCATCTTAGCTGCATTCCAGTCATTCTAGAAAAAAGATCAAAGGTGGTGGTACAGGATATTGGTTAAAGAGATGCATATACTCATCACAACTTATTCACAGAATTTAGATATTCCTCATCCTATATCTAAACCTCTCTTTACAGTCCTTTCATAGAACCTGAACATATAGGAAATAAATAAAAAAAAAATCACAAAAAGTGTTGAAAGGTATTTCAAAACTGGTCCTAATTTTTAACTTTTCCACCATTTTTTAAAACTGTATGTTCAAAGCAGGATAAAAGGCAATTTGCAAGCTAGTCTTTACAGCTTGATAGTGGTTGGTAATTACAGGTGCTCCACTGTCTTCTTTGATTGTATGAATTTCCTTTACAAGTCACTGCGGTTGGTTACTTTTTGTTTTTCCAGAATACTAACATTTAATTCCCTTTTCTTATTTTATTTGCCATTCGTGTCGCATGATCAGCCAGCAGATACAAGAGCATGCTGCAATTCTCTAGGGCTATTATAGCATTCTAAACAACACAAGGAACCTTTTAGCTTCTAGAACAACACACCAAACACCACACCTGATGGCAGGTGCATCCACAAGTGCCTTTTGATAACCTCAAGGCTTTGACCACCATAGGTACCACCATGCCAGCCTTAGCTAGTTCATTTTTTACTAGTTTTAACCCTTCACTCAAAAACCTCTGTTAATTTTAAAGAGTGAGCTATCGATCTACGACTAAGCAAAGATGGTAGCTCTCTAACTCACCAGGAGTACCTCGCCCCTCGTTTGGTTAGATACAGAAACTGGGAAGTTCGTTCCCTCAGAACAACAAGAGGGTAACAACAAGAAGGTTAAGTTGATTCATTGGATCTCTGAATCTGGATAGCTTTTTACAGCTTTACAAGGCTTAGTGATGGGTTTTGTTTAACCCAATATATTCTGTAAGACATACCCAGAGGGCTCTAAGTCCCCTTCATATAATCTGTTTAAGCAAAGAGGCTGTGCCTAACCATTAGACATGTGTACACTGCTCAAACAACTCTTTCAGTCAAGCCAAAACCCACCATGGTGCCTTCTCAAACAAAACTGTTCATATCTAAAAGGATATTCAAACAGTGAAGGAAAGTCTGCTGATAAAAATGAAAATATAGCAGGATTGGGAGATGAAACTCAATTTTTTTTTCCCTCTCATTACACCTGCCCTCAATCATCAGAAGCCTTCTGTGCTACACATGGCATAATCTGGCTACCAATGTTTTTGAATACTGTTAAAATGTAAGCTGAAATCTATACCAAAGAAAACCAACAGCAGCATCCCATCCCGCCTACATTCGTTGAGCTTAGTTTGCGGTCGTTCTTGGCAGTGACAAATAAGCCCACTGCACAAAGGCAGACAGTGGCAGTGCATGTTTTCCATTTTCTGCCTATTTTTGTTGTCATCACGAGAACAGCCCCATGTTTAGTCACCATTTGCAGATTTTCACAAAGGATGTATCTGCTAATCTTTTTCAAGTCTAAATGAAGGGAGATTCTGTTTAACTGTGCCAAAGCAAAAAGCTGTGTTTGTTTCTACAGAGTTACTGAAACCCAAAGCTTCAGATTAAATACATTTGTTATTTAGGAAGGCAGAAGCTATCACAGATGTCTTGGAAGTGTATTGGTCAGAAATGGATTACTTTAATATTTTTTCCCATCTTACATTTATTAACAATCCTGTAACACAGAATTCAAATCATCATCTGAACAGCAAGCAAAAAAATGTGAACCCAGCTACCCACAGGGTAAGAAGAAAACAATTCTGTCTTGTAACAGTGATGGAGAAGGTTCAGCTCTCTTCAGAGGCTGGGAGAGACACAAAGGCCTATTGCAAAGTTGGTGGAATTCAGGGACGTAAGGACATGTTTCTTACCCTTCACTAACCTACTTTATCCAACCAGATTTTGGGATGCTGCTCCCACCCTGCATCCTTGCTAATGTCTCAGTCTCTTCTGCCGGTTCAGTCTCTTCTGCCGGTTCCAGGACAATAGCTCCCCATGAAACAAAGCCAAATGGTTGTTCTGCAGTAGCCACTCTCCAAATCGAAGCACACCAATTTCCCCTCACCCAGTAAAGAATCAGGGAAAAAACAGGAATGGGAAAGCAGCAGCCCTGGCTCCCTGAGGCAGGCATGGGAAGGTTGGGCAGCAGAGCCTTGGTTCCCTTTTCCAGGGCCATTTTTCTCCTCAGCAGTCTGCCCTGTGACCCACCCAAGGACAGAAGCCAACCCTGCACAACTTCTTCAGGTAGCAGAGATGCTAATATCAGCATTCCAGTAGAACTCCATTTGCTGCCTTTATTACCCCGCATACTTTTAACTCGTGAATCCTATGAAATGTCACAAAGCACTAGTGGTATGTCACTAACCACTCCAACTTCACCACAGAGACGGCAAGTCCTGACAGGACTACTATCAATAGTCTCTGAATCATTTTGAGATGAATCAGACTGCTAAAAAATTTAATAGTCATGCAGCAGCTTTCTGCTTCCTTACCAAGCTCAAAGCTTACAAATTATGAGTAATACTTGCATTGAACAAGGAACTAACATTTTGAAGAAAAATAAACTCTAATTCTCCCTGTTTGTTTTTTTTTTTTCCCTTACTGGCTAATATCAGGACAACTTTCAGACTGCTGATTAAAATCTTCTGATAAGATTGAATTATCGTATCTTTAAATGAAGGGAGGAAAAGATCATTACATGTATGCTTTCCAAGTAGTTTTTATCTTTCTAAATATTCATACCATACTCCCTGCTCTCCAAAAGATGAAGAGGCTAGGTGGCACTGCAGGCTAATGGACTAGCTTATTATTATAGGAATTAATTAAGTGAATTTGGTGATCTTCTCAACAAGCTCCATACCTAATATATATTTCTTCAACCTTCAACCACTGAAAAATTCAAAGGCAGTGGGCCTAAGTACATAATTTTGCAAGGTCAGTCCTCGAATGAATAGCCAATGGGAGCAAACCCACTGCTCATTCTCATAACTTCGCTTGAAATAATGGAATAAGTATATAAAAATCTCAGTGTTGCTTCAGACCTTTATCAGTTTGCCTGTTCTGCCAGTTCCTCACATAGGTACAAGAACACTAAAGCACACACATTCCCACCTACAGCCACAACACCCTTAGCAGTGTTCTAACAGAGGCAGGGTAAGTACAAGACACAGCATTTGAGGACAACAATAGGCGGAGATAGAAAGAATCTTCCAGCTTCTCAAATTTGACACTTCTACAGTGTAATTTTTCTTCTCTGCTTTATGACTAACATTTTGATTGTCACATGTTAAATCTAACATTATGACATGCCTTACAATGATATGAAGATTTTACAAGTCTCCAACAGACCTTGTCTAAAGAACCTGGGGACTTAAATTACGCCATCTGCTCTTTCATCTGCTCCAGCAGGATAATGCCATGATCCTTAAAGCACATCACACCTGCTACCTTGATTTCATATGCACTTTTGTTGCAGTGACACCAGCACTCAAGAATATATAGCAAAAACTTAGAATCACTGCACTTAACTCAAGGGACAAAAAGGTTGTCCTTATGCTAAGGCTCCAAAGAAAGCAGTTATACCCAGACTGCACTCATGTACTTCATATGTTTTACTGGAGCAGAAGGGTACTAATCTGGTCCTCAGCCCTCTCCCTTTCTCCTACCAGGGGGCTGTGAATTCCCAGACCAGCACATTTTTAACTCCTAATCCCACCCACCAGATGTCAGGAATGGCAGAAAAACAGTGACAGTGCTGTGGCAGGTAAAAGGTGATGAACAAAATCCCTTCATGTACAAAATTGGCTGAGCAGGAGACAGGCTGATGTGACTCCCACAGGGTCTGTAACAGAGTCCTAAGACAAAAGCGTGCAGGAAGAAACAGCCTCTACATATCACCCCTATCCCCAAGCAGCACCACTGCCCTTTCTCATCAAGAGGACAAGACAATATCTTATGTTTTCTAGTCTTATCCATTTTACTCCCAGGTTCCTCTTGCCATAGAAGATGTCTTTGAGTCTAAGAGGAAATACTGGCCAGAGAGCTCATGCTGACATGATGATCTCAGCATTTCCTCTGCAAGGCCAGAGGGCCCTCTGCTTCTGTAACCCTAAAACAGCCAGAAGAGGGAGATGATTTACACAGAAGCTGATGGGAAAAGGGGAAGAAGAGGGGGAAAAGGGGGAGGCAGCTGCTATAAACTGATCCTTTTTCAACCCATCCTATCAGAGTCCTGGCACACATCTGTGTGATTTTCAGAGGCAAGAGTTCAGTGCATTATTATTCTCACTTTGCTAAAATCCCTATGCTCACTCCCCTGAGTCTCTTCCTAGAAAATGGAGAAGGGTATTAGCTTCTTTTGGTAAATCCCACTGAAACTGAATGGGAAAACAATGTTTCCTGGAAAAAGAAAAGCTAACAAACAAGTAAAAAACCCACAAACAACTAGCTTTTTGGATAAAAAGACAGTTTTACTAAAAATACATTGCAGTAGAACCACCCCTGTCAACATAA